CAAAATGTGAAAAATTTAGTAAATGAATCAACTAAAAAAGTAAATAACTAACTTTTTTTCAAGCTTAATGATTAATGACACAGAAGGCTCAGTGATATCCCAAAATATAGCAAGTGAGAAGTACACAATAGCAATAACATCATAGTATAGCACACTTGCGTTAGTGAATGCCCAAAGTGTGAAAAATTCAGTAAAGGAAACAAGTAAAAAAGTAAATAACTTACTTTTTTTCAAGCTTAATGATCAATGACAGAGAAGGCTCAGTGATATCCCAAAATATAGCATGTGAGAAGTACACAACAGCAATAACATCATAGAATATCACACTTACAATAGTGAAATGCCCAAAGTGTAAAAAAATAAGTAAAGAAATCAACTAAAAAAGTAAATAACTTACTTTTTTTCAAACTTAATGATCAATGACAAAGAAAGCTCAGTGATATCCCAAAATATAGTAAGTGAGAAGTACACAACAATAACAACATCATAGAATAGCACACTTGCATTAGTAAAATGTGTGTGAAAAATTCAGTAAAGGAATCAACTAAAAAAGTAAATAACTTACTTTTTTTCAAGCTTAATGATCAATGACAGAGAAAGCTCAGTGATATTCCAAAATATAGCATTGGCAATACACAACAACCCCAACATGTACACAAGAGCAAACATTACCTAATTAAAGTAACAGTTATGCACTAAACATAGAAAATTTTAAAGATAATAAAAATATTAAGGCACTAAAAAAATAACCTTTTTTCAGGCCTAGTTTTCTAACTTTGAAATCCAACTCAAGATACAACATCCCATATACTATTGGTAATACACAACACCCACCACATACACACAACAACACAACAATATTAGCAAAGTAAAGTAAACAATCATCTACTAAACATAAAATAATATTGAAATAATCTAAATCTGAAGAAGGCACAGTTTTTTTCAAGCTCAGATCCGAATATTTGAAGATGACCTCAATTTCAATCCCAACATAGCAGTTGCATTACACAACACGAAGCATAAAACACATGTTCACAGGGCAACACTCACAAAAGATTTTAATACATTACACAATATTATCTTTAACATAAATTATTACAGACCCAAAGTTAAGACATTAAAATAATCTAAGTTATTACAATTATCTAGATCCTAGAACATCATTTGTCAACAGCCACAATAATCAACAAAAAGAAGATGACTAACAACATGAAGAATATAGTAAGAACAACACAATAACAGGCACCAAAGATAATGTACTTTTGTCTATTTTGTTCAACTTGCATAATTTCAACTACATTCTCCAACCCTTCATCCACATGTACACCCACCTGTACACCTTGGTGCAAGTCATCCAACCATATAAATGTACGAGCATGTGACTAAATTATCAAACACTAATATAATTATAATGTCCCTTTGACAGTAACATGTATGAAAAAAAAAAAACACTTCATTTCTATACATCCCAAGCTGGATATCTATAAAATGAACGTCCATAATTCTTGGTAGTTCCAGCCGTCTAAAGTTGCATTGGACCCTTTCCACATGCACAAGGTGGACCCTCTCTCTGAATCTCATACATTACTGCATATACAAGTGCTAAAATATTTAATCTATCCTTGCCACGAGTTATTGCAGTTATCCAGATCCTAGAACATACTGGAATAAAGTTCTACGTCTACTTATTACAGTTATCAATTTTTTGAAACACCTAAATTGCAGATCAATGGTGTTGAAGTGTATTCTATATGTTATTAGCAATACGATCACGTAATTGATCCATTTCTCACAACTACGACTACGTCACATTAACCTGAACATCATCGTTCTCATCTTCCTTAGTTTCTAATGATTTAGGGGTTTGATCATCAAATATTTTATCCATCCACGCCTCCATTCTTATGAAGTTGTGAAATGTACAACAAGCTATCACAATAGCAACTGGAGTTCCAAATTTATATGGAGGCATTTGCTTCAAGATGGGGAATCTCATCTTAAGCATCCCAAAATAACATTTAATGACATTTCGTAAAGACGAGTGCCTATAATGTATATTTCCTCTCTACCTTGGGGTGCCCTAGAAGCCCTACGGTACTCTTGTAAGTGGTAGCATTGATCCCAATAGGGAGCCAAGAATTTTGATTGATTGGCATACCCGGAGTCTACCAAATAATACTTTCTTGTTATTTTACAAAGTATAAACAATTGTCCAATATGTTTAAAATAAATTAAAAAGCTTTAGGTACTATAGCATTTACCTTCTGGAGGGTGTGGGAATTGCATACTCTCATCATTAACACATTCGTTTACTATCTTTAAATCATTAACAGACCCCTCCCACCCTGCTAGAACGTATGTGAACATCATATCAAATGAACAAACAGCCATCACATTTTGTGTCGTATTACTCTTCCTACCACGAAATGGTATTTGTCGATCCGTAAGTACGTTTGCATGGATATGAGTTCTATCGATTGCCCCTACACAATCCTTAAAAAAAGGGTAGAACTTTTTTGACTTTTTGATATGGTCAGGAATCGCGGTTAAATCTAGGGGAGCAATAGTCCTTTTTCCTAACTCACACACTTTTTATAAGACCGAATGGAAGTGTTTGGAAATTGTTTGGGTGGAGTGTTGGAATATTTCTGCTACCACACGATTCTTTTCATTATGAGCTAAAGTAAGCAAGAAGATGCCAACTTGTTCAAACACACTTACATGTTTAGAATCTTTCAACCCTAAAGACCTAAGCTCACCACACAACTTAACAAAAATAGGGGTGGACATTCTAAAGTTTTCATAACATCTACTTGCATGCCGATTTTCAATATATATGCTTCCCCTTTTAAAATTGAATCCCTACAACGCTGCTTTTGGAAATATTTCCTATAGTATTCCAACATACACGCCATTATAACGACAGATTCATTCTCGTTACCATCATCATCATCATCATACAACTCTATGATTGTCCTAATATCCATCTGTATAATAAAATATATATAAAAAAAAAACATAAATTACTATTAATACTGTCAAACCACAAATTAGTGATATTCAAAGTGATATTGTCATTACAGTCATCCCAAGGCAAATAAAAAATAGAATACTTAATAGTACAATCATCCAAAATGATAAGAAAAGCAAAAATAAAAGCAATACACCAAACAAAGTATAGTTAATAGTATAGTTATCCAAAGTCATAAGAAAACCAGATAACACAATAAAGTAATAGGAAATCAAAGATTCATGATCCAACCAACCTTCCTCTCATTAGGAAGGTTATTCAGAAAGAAATCCCTCCACATTTCATCACTATATAACATCTTGATAACCTTACCATATTGCATAATATCAATGTCCTCTAATTGATTTAAAATCCTACATCATAAGTCAGATTCATTTTTTGCCTTATCTTTTTTTGTTAGCGAAGTTACTTCAACCTCACATTTGTTACGGGATAGTAGAATATTAGATGATGAAGCTTCTTTTATGTCCTTTTCAATTCGTTCAGCTTTCATGTTAGCATTCTTAGTCATGGTTGCCAAGACATTGCTCATTGTGGTGGCAAAACTATCTTTCTTTTGTTTCTTACCATGACGTTGAGGCGAGTGACTGATCTCATGACCGTCTACCTCTGCCAAATCATTATTTTCAAGGCCACTATATATGGCTGCATGGTGTGGGGGGACTTGGTTGATAGTGGGTGGTCTAGTGGAAAGATGCATATGCACACCTGTAGCATACGTGTCTCGATAGATGTAGGTCATCTTGTCAAAATGCTTACATCTCTTCATTTGAAACTTTTTTGCACCCTTATTCACTTACAAATTATTATCCTAATATTAATATGAAGTAAAATCTACATTTGAATATGACAGATAAATTAACTTTCATTACTAACCTTTATCAACCTATCCCATTTTTCAGGTTCAGGTATAACCATGCATGTCTCAACACTATATCCAACACCTATTTCTGCTAACAGTTTTGTAAAGTCTTTGTAGTTTACCCTCAACTGGTTAAATTTATTCCTAAGTTGGTTCTTTGTAAAGTTCTTCCTTGTTTGAACCCTCATGCCTTCCACTAAATTCCTCCAACTAATAGTGCTAAAAGTTCCAGAAATACGATTACCAACCCTCACTTCTTCCTCCATAAGGATAATGAAATTTTCAATATGAGAGTCATCCCATACTACTTTTCCATTGTCGGTAATGTCTGTAAGGTCCTCTATATCTATTGGCACCATATTCTCATCATTTACATCCATTAAATTAATCATTTTAATTTGAAATTAGATTTTAGTATAACTTTTATTACGAATATATTCTTCAGTAATGTATGACACTATGTGTGTGGGTACATTTTTAACAATCTCAAAGATATGACTACTCATGTGTGTGCGTAAAAAAAAATATTCATTACCCATTACTAATGTGTAAAGTATCACGGTAGTATCAAAAGTTTTTGCAAGTTGAAGAGCAACACATATAATTTAGACCAAACAGAATTGATAATTAGACCAAATAGGACTGATTCAACATATATGCAATGATGGATTTTGAAAAATAAACCGAAAAAATAAGGGCCAAATAGTGCCGAATCATGGTAAAACTATACAAAATTAAATCTGTCAAAAAATTATACAAAACTAAATCTATCAAAAAATTACGCCTTAGAATATGTATACAGAAGCTAAAACTATACAAAAGTAACATGTATACAGAAGCTAAAACTATACAAAATTAAATCTGTAAAAAAATTACACCCTATAACATAGTATACAAAATTAACAAATATTCCTCAATTCCATCGATTTTGAACACAAGATTGGAACTAACATGTCATACACACAAATACAGTATACAAAATTAAAATTAGGGTTTCAAACAATTATCATTTCAGTTTAAACAAAGGCTAAATAATCCTCAATTTTGAACACAAAATTCGAAAAAATCAGTCATAATCATGTATACAAAAGGTAAAATTGTACAAACAAAAAAAAAAAAAAAAGGGGGGGGAGGGGGGGGGGGGGGGGTGTGGGTTTCAACAAATCTGGTTTCAGTTTAAAGAAAGCCCAAAATCATACCAAAATTCAAAAAAATCGGAGGGTAAAACTAATCGAAAATACTAGGATTTTCAAAAAATTCGAACTTCCAATGAAACTCCAAATTCGAACTCCATCTGTGGATTTCCAACCGCCAAAAAAAAAAAAAAAAACTCAAACACATCCACAATTTGCATATATTCAAAGGAACTCGTCAAACCTGTCGAGGTTATCGAAGATAACAGCAAACGAATGAAGATTGTTGAAAGTTTTGACAAAAAACAGTGGTGGGAGCTTTGATCAGTGTTCGTTTTTAGCCAACAATCACAGTCACCAACAATCGCCAAAGAGGAGGAGAGCAACGTGAACCCTAGAAAATGCTAACATTGCCTTTTATATGTGCTTCAGTTGTTGCCTCCGCTACAGTTAAATGAAGGCATTTGTTGCCTCCGCTACAATGTATATTGTGGGTCAAATAGTGCCGAAACATGCAAAAATACCTAAATGGTGTTTCAAATTATAGGCCACTTTTTGCAAATGTTTTGCAACGGTTTAAAATATAACAGGCGGTCCAGCCAAACATGTTTTGGGTTGGAATTGGACTATTGTAGCAGGCCTGCAACAAAAACTTAACACCAACCAAACAGGGCCTTAATGTTTATATCCTATATGCATTAGTGTGTCAGTAAGGTAATTATTTAGTTACGTTCATACAAAATAACAAGTATCCAACTTATAAACAAACACTAAACTCATGAACAAGTAGCTATGTTTCAAGGGCGGATCAAGCCCACCCAAATATATATAAATATATATATATATATATATATATATATATATATATATATAGGCAATTTTAGCCCAGCAAAAAAAACAAAAAAAAAACAAAAAAAAACCCTACTAGTTTTAGACCACCCAAAGAAATATTAGCCTACCCCATTAATAATTCATGGATCCGCCCTTACATGTTTCATACATATATTAATATATATATTTAATATTATATAATTTCAATAACTTTTGATGAAGCTCACAAAATAGTTAAACGTTTTTACCTAGATTAACTTGTAATTAAGAAAATTATAGAGGGTGTAGATTGTCCAACAAAATTTATATACTAATCCCTACGCAGAACGCAATTTCAGAAGCTCTAATCCTCAGCTTCATCAAAACGCACTTTTTTCCTTCAACAAACTCCACTAAAATCTTTTTTTAATTCAAGGTACTTTTGGAGGTTGGAAACGCAATTCCAAACGGGGCCTTAGTAGCACGTCCAGTACTCATGTTCCAATCTCATTCTTTCTAATTTGTCAGGAACAAAAGAAAAAGAAAAATCTTCATATATCCCATTGAATAATTTTTAACAAGATTTAAATTGTTTTTTTTTTTTTTTTTTGTCATTCATTAATATTTAGGCTGCTTTAATTATTAGTACTGGAGTTAAAAATAAAAAATGAATTAATAAATAAATTACGATGGGCAGCTGGCACATTATGAATTCATGATGACCTTGCCAGTTCACTTTCTGAATTTTTTGGCTACTTGTTGACCACATAGGATTGGGCTCGATGGAAGGAGCAAAGCCCATTAATCTGGGCTGAATTATATTAATAACTGTAAGCTAATTTAGGCCCCGTGTGGAATGGAATGGTCCAGCCCAGTTGACTTGCCTACCTGCCCATATTGTCCTGCTTTGTGATGCTTTGTATTAACTTGACCAAGTTTGATTTTCAATTTGAATAATAATTTGAAAATTCCATACCATAATATTTTACGAATTTCTCCCATTTTATTTTTGATAATTAAAAACAGTATTTTATTCTATGTAATCTGGACTCGGATACATGCCTTGTTTGAGTATGTATCTAAACATCAAATATACCAAATTTCCAAAGGAATGATGCATGAACATTGTTAAAAATTCATATTATCTAACATTTTTATTTAATTTTATAGAGTGAAATAATTTTCTTATGTTACATAATGTTTAATATTTAATATTTATATTTTGAAGTAATAATATAATAAAATTGAATCATTAAATATATATTTTTTAGGTGAATGTCTAAATAAAAGTGTTCGACATATATTCCGGACTCATCCGAATATATTTAGTGTCTATGACAAAACTATTTTTAAAAAGTAGCATAAAAATATTTCAAAAAAACTATTTTCATATAAGAGTGAAAATGCAACATTCAATAAAATTGGTTCCGCCTATGTATAAAAGCTGGCTCTCAAACAACTGATATGGTGCATTTTCTTTAGCTGGACAAACCAATAATGTGGTATGTCTGACTCGTCTAATATCGATCTTCTCGTTTAAAATCCAGTGACATGTTCAGGCTGTCTAATTAACGATCTGGCTCATGATCATAAAGTGATAATTGGAGAACCCACTCGGTGAGTGACCTTCCTCTTCTTTGTTTACTGCAGATAGATGGTTGGTGGTTCTGACTGTGTCCACCACCGTCAACAGAGTCCACAAAAGCCTTGATCCGCTGCAGTGAAAGGTTTAGGGTTTGGTCGGACATGTTTGCGAAGCAAATACGAAACCAGCCCGGTTCCACGCAGTGACAGGAAGACCCTGGAGAGATGTTCAACCCAACTTCAAAAATGAGCGTCTTCCATAGTTCCATTTCTGCTTCAAAGGTATTAGTGTTTAGTAGGTGCCTCATGTCTACCCAGCAGAACAGTCCTGCATTGCTCTTCAAACACCCAATACCTAGAGAATACAAATAATCAACTCACTCGGCTCTATATGTCTAATTAATAGCCAATTCAAAATTTTAGAACAGTGGCATGGTGGTTAAATAACATAATAATAATAATAATAATAATGATAATTATAATAATATGTATATATATATATATATACATATTATATGAATAATGATATGTAGTCCAGTTGGATCTATCCAACTGTTTTATATGCCATCACGACGACATTAAATATGAGAATGTTATGATGATGTAAGTCATTCCTTATTTACATAAATTTAGATAGATGTGTGACTCTCGAATTCTGCATCTTTACTCCCCACTCTCTATATATATAATACCTTTGTTCTCTTTGCCCTTATCTCATTATGGGTCACATGTGCACTAGTAAGCCATGCAACACTTACCATTACAATGCAGCAGGCTACAACACGAGATGCAATCCTCGTATAATAACTATGTAATACTTATGTAACACATTTATATCAAAGATGCAACATGTCACGTAGTGTTTGCAACACATTTATATAGTAGTTGCATTGTTGATTTAAAATTGTTGCAATAGCGATTTAAAGTTGTTGTGTTGTTAATGTAAAGTTATTGCATTGTCGATTTAAACACAGAACATACACGGACCAAAAACACACCAGAGAAGATACTGAATCATCTTCTATGCAAAATTAAAATTTAGTCACATATACAATACGTCTAGCTAACATTTTAAACTTTTAGAGTAAATGAAAACGGTAACAATACCTGTTTGCTCAAGGCCACAAAGGAGCTTTTGTTGTCTCTTTTTAAGCCTCCTTTGATTCTCTTTTATGTAACTCTTCGTGAATTTCTTGTCAGCTAGAATATTTGAGAGCAGGTACTGAGTTTGAGAAGAGACAAGTCCAAAGCTTGACATTTTGGTCACAGCTGCAACTACTGTTTCATTGTTGGAGTAGATCATGCCTACCCGGAATCCGGGAAGGCCTAGATCCTTCGACAGACTATAAACAACGTGAATTCGCTTCCAAACATCGGAGTCTTTGAGGTTTCTGGCTGTTGCAGCTTCTGTGATGCTTATATAATTTGGAGAATCAAAAACGGACCCCGAATATATCTCATCACTCACTAAATGAATATTTTTAGCAATGGCGAAACTGATGAGAAGGTTAAGCTCATCTGGACTCATTGTTCTTCCTAGAGGGTTTGAAGGGTTTGTGATCAATACACCTTTAATTTTTAAACGAAGTTTTCGAGCTTGTTGATAAGCTTCTTCTAGTGCTGGCTCAGTGATTCTGAAGTCACTTGAACTCGAGCAATGTATTGGAACAATTTCAACCCCTGTTCTCCATTTAAGATCTCTATCAAACCTGCCAAAAGTATTTATCAATAGAAAACACAATATATATATATATATATATATCACTTTTTAGACTTATGAGTGTCGAATCTAGCCGAAGTGTTATAAGGGATGCATTGTGGCGAGTCACTCCTACAATGCAAAACACTCGCAACACTTCAGATTTCAAAAATCTCCCTATTACCCCCGACACTGCTTCTGTCCGTTGTGACACGCACGTGGGAGTTACCAATAATTAATCTTGTTACTACTGTATACTCTTCCGGCTCAATATATTATCAGTCACAACTTACAAAATGGACAACTATATTAAGATGGAGGGAGTGTATATATATATATATATATATAATAAAAGCAGGATAATATATATGATTTAAATGGTACCCTGGATAGTAAGGAGTGGGAAGAAGGAACGCTTCGCCTGGTTCAGCAAGGCAAAACATGAGAGTTTCATTGGCTGAAGTTGAACCGGCGGTGAGAACGAGCATGTTCGGATTAAATCTTACTCTGTTTCCTCTAATTTCTGCCAGGAACTCTACCAGTGCCTATAAATGAATTTTGAATCAAGTTTAGATATGACAAATATATATATATATATATATATATATATATATATATATATATATATAATGTAGAAGTGGTAGAAATTTACATTCTTGAATTCTGGTAGGCCATGATAGTCTTGGAAGAGCGCCAACTCTCTGAATATGGATCTTCCGTTTCTTTTGAACCCGGCCACGTCCGGGTTGCTCGCAAGCCATGATTCAATAATGTCGAAGGAGAGCTGCGCGCAAAAAACAAAAATAAATGCTAAATAAATAAAAATTATTGACACCGATTACTCATTATTTTCATTTCCTTTACGGTAAAAGATTAAGTAATAATAAAGTTAGGCAAATTTTACTAATTTTATATAAATAAAGATTAATGTGACATTAATTAGAATTTAATGACATCATACTCCATTCACATACATATTAAGTTCAAACACTAAATTATTTTTATAAAAAATTGTAATCACTCACTATTAGCCGAGATTGGAGTGTACTACATTCTCGGAATACCCAATAATTTCTCATAAATTACAACATTAATGCCAACACGAGTAACCATTATACCATTTTGGAATAATATATTCACATAATATTATTGCTGAATTTTACTGCCTATTATTTTTGTCTCATGTAATATGGAATTATTACATATAAATGGTGCCAATGACCCATATTTATTATTTAATGGAGTCAAATTCTCATAATTTCAAAAAAATGAAATTAACCAAAATGTTGACGTGGACATAAAAAAATACTGTTTAACCTTACTGAGGTATCACTTTTAATTAGGCACTTAGATACCACTTTTTGTACATTAAGTATCACTTTTATTCTGAGTATAGAGGTACCACTTTTATTTACTTAGGTACCACTTTTTGTACATCAAATACTACTTTTATTATGAGCATAGTGGTACCTGATATACAAAAAGTAGTACCTATATAAATAAAAGTGGTATTTCAATGAGGGTAAGCAGTATTTTTTTCATGTCTTCATTTTTTGAAAATTATGAGACTTCGACTTCATCAAATAGTAAATATGGATCAATAGCACCATTTATATGTAATAATTTCATGTAATATTATATATATATATATATATATATATATATATATATATTCACCGATTTTAGAAAGTAGTAGCCGGAGAACCACGGAGTCATTAGTCGAGCTAGTATAACCTCTTTTTCTTCTGTTAAAGGTGAGGGGTTTGAAATCTAGTAGGTCTAGGTAGGTGTGTTTAACTTTGAGATTATGAATATTTACCTATCTAAACAACAAAATAGTAAAAAATAAATAAAAATTAGAAGCTGTAAATATATCATCTTTTAACGAAATTTCTTACAATGCACCACCATGAGCATATATATATATATATACACACACACACACATACATATACATATAAATATATAAATGACAATGAATTTAATTTGTTGATCACGTACCTGATTCTCGGCGAGACCCATCTGAATAATCCCAGTTGGGTTTTGAACATCATGGTAAGGGTTCTTCTGGTACTCCTGCCACCCGAGGAAGTAAGACGAGTCTTGGCCATGTGAATCATCACATGTAGCTCTTTTAGATAACATTTTCATACACTAATCTAAGTCTATCACACTACCTACAATTTTTTTTTTTAGAGAGATGATCTTTTGAAACTAATGTGTGTGTGTGTGAGAGAGAGAGAGAGAGAGAGACAAAGATAGAGAGAGAACTGTTTTTGTTAGGAGATCAGTTCGTAATGTGGCACATATATATATATATATATAGGAGTTTATGAGATATAGTACTACTACCTGACAATAGACTGCGTGGAGGACGGTGGTGATTTCTGACCAAAGAGAGACTATTGTGGGAGCTTTGCAGGTGATGATTTAACTGCATGATTTAACTGCATGCAACATTATTGTTGCCCTCAATAAATTATTAATTAAATAGTTCAAAAAATATATATACCGGGACAATCACAACATCTCATTTTCTTGATAATACCAAGAAATATTGTGTTATGATTGAAAAAATTTAGAATGCTCCAAGTCTTTCAACATTTGAATGTAGTTATCACGTGATAGATAATTTAACGATTGGATGAGTTCGTATACAAATTGATTAATAACTTTTAATAACACTTCTTTTTTTATTTCAAAAAGAATAACTTTTCAAGGAGTTCTAAGTCAAAAGTGATTTACGTGCATCACAAAAAAGTCATGCAATCATGATGCTCAATAAAATAGCTAGACACAGTTAATTGTATAATTTCACTGCAACGTAAATTTTTAATTAATAATGAATTTGCTGTCCTAGAGAGATCGAATATAAGACTTTCTATATATAAAGCTCTTATGTCCCTGAATCATTGAAGCTGACGTTATAAGAGATACTTATTCATCGTTTTTAGGGATACTACATTGTGAGCAGAGAGTACCCTCTAGAATGGAATTCATGTGTCTTTTAATTTAGAATACTGGTGGTTTCCACATTGAGTCAATAAGAGACCTAAAAACGTGGGTCAATGGCCCACAATCACATTCAAAGTTTGAACACGTATATACAATGAAGTAAAGCTGAGAGAGAATTCTAAAACTCTGATCGTAGTATAATTATAATTTATTCGGATAAAATTAATATAAATTGATCATACAAATTACATATTAGATTTAAAAAAAAATTATGTATTAATGAATAAATCGCATATAAGACGATATAATGATAATAACATAACAATGCAGTTCTTATAATATATATAAAATATATACTTAAATGAATTTGTTTGTTACATATTTAATTAATTGGACTGATAATTTTTTTTTTTTCCTTTCAAAAAATATAAGATATCTCCACATAGATAAGATACCTGAGTCCAACAATTGCCATCATATTTGTGCTACGTCTCCTGATTAATTAATTTTGTTGAGGATTTTCACAGAGATTTCTTGGACCCAGGATTGCACCCTGGTCTGGCTGACACCAGATCCATGGACCACCTATTCCATTCCGGCTGGTCGGTCTTCCTTGATTAATTCTTTTGTCTCGTTTGAATGCCAACAAAGGAGCAACCCATGTTGGATCATTTACCAGCACTGCTATTTAGACTTATTAATTTTTTTTATTCGGAATGCATAATTTAAAAGATTTTTATCGATGCAGTAGATGGAACCCCACTCGGTGACAAAACAAAAATGGCATATATCCGCTAAACATATCAATTTGAAAAATCGGTAAGAATATATAATTATTCATCATTTAATGGGAAAGATGAGTCTGATAGTAATAGTGATAGTGAAACTTTACATAGAGTACACGTTATCTACATGATTTAATAATTCTCGATCAAATACAAAAGAATGATTGAATAATTTTTTTATGTTTTGTGACATTTTATGGATGTTTATTATATTTGGAACCAAGGAGAAATTCTACAATACAAGAGCTAAGTTTTGATTGGGAGTAGTGTCACTATCAAGTGTCAAAATATACCCGAAATATTGTATAATTTGACGTATACAAGGTGTGATCAGCACTACTATTTAGACTTATTTTCCAATTCAAAGTTTTTATCAATGCAGTAGATGGAACCCACACTTACGTATAATCATTGCATCCTATCGACAAAATGTCATATGTCCACTGCATACATCGATTTGAAAAATCGGTAAGAATATAATTATTCATCATTTAGCAAGAAAGACGAGTATGATAGTGAGACATTACATACAGTATACGTTAACTACAGAATCTAATGATTCCTTGATCAAATGCAAAAGACCGATTGAATATGTGATTTACAATATTGCAATAAATAGAAATTATTCCACAACTAAATTGGTTTTAATTTGAGGGTTTTTGGCAATTGGAACAAGAGTACCCTGACTCTCTGAGAGATCCCAAAACTGCATTATGCATCTTGTACAGGACTCAACCCCTTTTCAAACTACATTAATGTGAGTGCTCTCCCTTCAGTTTCTAAGTTTCATATTCTTTGGTGAGAGGACTATTTTTTTTTGTCCGGATCATTAGCCAGTCACTGCTTTGGCCCCCACTGGAAAATTGTAGTGTCTATATATATAGATGTATGTATATTATATCGGCAAATTGTGGATGTCTTTTTATCACATGTTCGGTTGAATCGCAACTACATAAATCAAATCAATCAAATTATATAAATCAATCAGATTGAAGTGTCTTTGTAGTTCGAATTCAAATTCTCCATTATTTTTCAAGATATATATAACACACACACATACATAAATCAATCGTTATAACTAGATATATAAATAAGAATACATAAGTAGATATATAAATAAGAATACATAGAGATAGCTCAATGTACATAAGCTAAATCTCACTTTTATTCTGACTCATGCAACTTTTTTTTTTCAATAATTAAAATTTGGGTGAATTACTCAGACTTTCTTTGAGATTTGTCCATATTATACGTTAAATTTTTTATGAACACGGCATAAACACGTATATTATATATACATGTACGTTATCTTGGCAAATAATTCACTCTCACTTTATTCTTATAATAATTTAAATTGTGAACCTATTACGTTGTAGGATAGAGAAGGTATTACTGAACTAATGAATAAATATCTTTATACCACATATTTTATCTACTATTTGAATCGCAACTACAAAATGTATAGTTATGAATCATGACTGGGAGTTCGAATTCAAGTTCTCCATTATTTTTCAAGATATATATATATATATATATATAGACACCTAAGTACATAAATCAATTGTTATAACTAGATATATAAATACAAATACATACATTAATGTAGAGACACTTCAATGTACACAAGTACGTAAAATCTCAATTTCATTTTGACTCCCGCAACCTTTTTTTAAATTAAAATTTGGATGAATTATTCTAACCTTTTTGAGGTTTGTCCAAATTAACGGTAAAACTTTTTAGAGTAATGATACTTGCACCAAATTGCTGCACAAATGTTTCTGATTGATTATTTATGCATAGTATATATAAGTGGAGGCCCCACTCTTTATTTATGCATAAATAGACCGATTAAAATAAATAGGTTTGACCATTCATTACAACAAATAGCATAAATAAAGAAGTGTAACCCTCTACTTATATGTATTATGTATAAATAACCAATCAGAAACATTCGGTGCAACAAATCGGTGCATTACTCAACTTTTTATGACCACCATAGCATAAACAATCCTGTATAATTTTATACGAGTGGTTAATAATCTCATAAGTAATTTTATTTTTCTGTTTGTGTTTTTCTCTGTATTTTTTTTTTACTCTAACAAAACAAAAGGTAATAAACTTAGTTGCAATCACTTCTAAATAAAGGATCATTCGCATGTTCCATTGTTCACCATCCTCCATTATGTATGGTATGATCAAATAAAATTTTGAGGGCACACAAATATATATATATAGATAGATAGAGATAGAGATATATAGATTGTTATATAGACAGACACACACACAATAGGATTATTCTTGCAGAATGAAAAGTCAATATAAAGATAAGATCGAATATGTTCACGGCAGTGGAGAGAGTACTTTAGTAGACTTTTTTTTGTTTATTTTTCTTAGTAAATAATTACTTTTGTAGACTTATTGTTATTGTACTGCAAAAATGTGAGAAAAACAAAGTGTTTTTTTTTTTTTTTTTTTTTTTTTTTTTTTTTTTTTTTTTTTTTCATGAACTGGAAATAAACTGGAGGCTGGAGCTATGCATGGTACCTTCAATAGCTATGAGTCAATGTTTCCCGCGACCTGGTGGACAAACTGGTCACGCATGCATGAGAAAGTGCATAATCATCCACATAGCATTCCCAATTCCCAATGCCCAATGTCCACACCAACCATACCCACACTTTTAATGGGAAAAATAATGAAATACATTAAATCACTCCATTGATATTTCCATTAATATTTATGGGTAAGGTTTGGTGTGTCAGTCTAAAAAGATGATAAATTTTTAAATTGGAACCAATTATTGTACTTTATCACATGCCCAAAAATTTATATATATATATATATATATATTTGTTGTGGTCATCAAATCTTACACGAAAAAGAAAGAAATAAATAAATAAATAAAATGTGATTCAAAATTAACTTGTGAATATTATTATTAAAACTGTTCATAGTAAAATAACATGAACATTATTGAGAAATACACAAGGAATTGTCTCGTAATGAGTAAGAGCAACGTGAAGTGTTTTTAGACTGTCAAATTAGACAAATTATTCGTTACAATCATTATAAGAATAACGTGGTGCAACGTATGATTACAAATATTTTACCAAAACACATATGACAACTTTTTGATTTATTATAAGTCCATTCTACTTTGGTGGAGCATTTTTAGCCATTCGTTTTACCATACTATCTTTGTAACGATTACAATAAATAATTTCTCGTTAAATTAAGGGAGTTTTGGGGTTGAATTTCAATTTCGTGTCAAATTTTATAATGTTAAAAAGGAGTTTTGGGGATGGCGTTGATTCCCATTGATTCACCAACTCGCAAGTAACACTTTATATATGATTTCTCTGTCTAGAGTCATTTCAAAAATTCTTATAACAAGAGACGTAATTACACGTA